TCCATCCCCTTGGCAGCTGTTTGCTCAGTGTTTCTTGAGGTTTCTTGCTCTTGTGGTGTTAGAAAAAGATTCCAAATTGTTGTTCTGGAGGCTAAGTCCAAACGAGTAGCAGCACTATGCTATCTAACCGGGTAATAGACAATTTACAGGTTAGCAATGTTATTTTCAGGTTATAACTATAAGTAACAGTTGCATTATGCTATCTAACCGGCTAACATAAATAATATCTAAGTGGTACATGTCACCATTGATTTCATTCAGCATATGCCGTCATTTTGACCATTATTTTTCAACTCACCTTGCCAAAGACGAACAGGGTGTACCATCTTCTGAAAAAAAATTGTATCTTTATCAAACACCAAAGAAAAATACACATTTTGTAAACTATCCACAGTTAAAAATTTACTCACACCAAAAGCCCTTTTTCAACGCGATTCGTCAGAGCGCCACATCTGACTCCAGCGAGAAGGGAGATCTCAGACCTCGACAAAGGTTTGACAGGCAAGAACCAACTGCAACAACCACCACCGAAAACCGCCAGCAGCAGCTCACCACCACCACCGAATGAGCTGCTGCCGGCAGTACAATCTTCTTCCCACTCGTGGATCTCTTTTCTTTTTTATTATGATCTCTTTGTTGTGCTCTTTTCCGGCTCACTAGATTATACTCGTTCCGATTTTCTCCCGGAGATGATTTTTAATGAATCTATACTATTAAAATAGGATCCTATTTGAAATTTTTTGTCCTTTTTTAATTTAATTACAATGACATGCCATTCATTTATTTCTGCATAATAAACTAAATTAACATTGTCTAAAACATTCTAATTTAAAAAAGGAATATTCATAAAGAAAATCTAACCGAATTACTCATTAGTCACAAAATTTCTCAGCAACAAATTTATTCATTAATTAAGCAAATGGGTAACAATTCACACAAGTAAGCAAGATATCATGTCTATGTATAAAAAAATAATATATTGTTATTAATAGAAAAATGGGTACTATATTCATTTACTTAAGCAACATATTTGTTACTAGTGTATAATCATTACTTATGTTATGACTAATAACATTATAAAACCAAATTTATATCTACGCAAATCATAGCCACTTTATCTTACTAAAATATGCTTTTTAAAAATTGAAATAAATATTTTAAACAAAATAAGTTTTCATTTTTCATGTTTAATAATTAGTTATAGTTACACTATATGTACATAGATGTTATATATTATTTTTATCTGTATTACATCATTTTACTCAATTAGCTGAATTATTTGAAAGTGAAGAAATATCAACTACTTTGAATACTTCTATATCCATTCAAATTATATTTTAGTTTGTTATATAAAATAATGAAAATAGCCTCCTGCATATTAATACTAAGATTACATTCCAAGGCAGTAGAAGAAACCATCTTCTTCTTCGAATGTGTCGTTGCCGCACTCCCTACAAATCATCTCATTAGTCGAGGGAGAGAGCGAATGGATTAAACCCTATATTAGGTGAAGAATTAGTTTGATTATTTTGGGCCTCAATTACCCAGGCCTCCTAACACACACTTTAAGCCCATTAAAGCTATTACGGCCGAACCGGAACACTAGAATTGAACACCATAACTAGATTTTTGATCCGGGCGGATATCATTTTTGTTGTTTTATCTATAAATAGATCGATAAGTTTTTTTTATTTGATGATATAAAATTTTCTTGTCTAAATAACTTTTTAAAATTATTGTAGTTTTAATTTATTATTATCATCAATATTTATGTAAATATATTATATGTAATTGTGTAGTTTTATTTTGGAAAAATAATATCAATTAACTATGTTCGGTAATTTGCCCAACCCGTCTGACCCGCAAAGAAAATAAATTTTATAAGAAAATAGTATATTTTTATTTTTTTTTTTTAAATAAAATTATTTTAACGAAGTTTAGTATATTTTTGAAAAATAATTTTTTAAAAATTTCTTTTCTATTTTGCAGATTACCGGATACCACAACTGAAATTAGAACAATCCGCATACGTCCCGCGTAAAAATATTTGACCTGCACCCGTACCCGCAACGTAGTTTTTTCGAATATCGATTGACTCGTTCCGTGGCGGATCGAATTGAGCAGAACCAGCAAGCTAATAATTAGAAGGTGAATTTGACCAATTAATAAAATCTATTAATATATAGTTTTTAGGCCCAGAATAAAAAGACTAAATTACCATTAATAAAAAATTAAACTTGTTCATAATATTAAGATTATTTTTAAAAAAATATAAAAATCTCATTTATGGGACGATGATCATGTTTTAATTGTATTGATATTTCACCCGTGTGTCTCCTCCCTCCAAATAACTCGGAGCCTTCTTCTTCTTCTCTTCATCTTAGGTTAATCGAATCTTAACTAGTGTTGTATATTCAATCTCTCTGCTGCCAATCAATGTGACATATCGCCATTTTCAGCATGTTTTTTTTGGACGAACTAAACATTTTTCTTTTCTACAAAATAAAAGTTATATTTCTATCCAAAAATAACTTTATATTTAAAAAATAAAATTTCAATTTTTTTTTAACTTTTTAAGATGAATAATATTTTACATAATATTAAAAATATACTATATTTATATAACTACATATGTCATTCATTATTTACCAAAAAAACATAAAATAATATATATAATATAAATATAAACATATCTATATATTATAAAAATAAATAAATCAATATTATTTAGAAATAAATCAATTATATCATATATTAATTTTATGATGATTTTCTATATGAATCATTTAATGCTCTTCCAACAGATAAAATTTTATGATAATTTTATTTAAATTATATATAAATTTTTTAATTTTTATTCATTTCATTTAATAATATGAGAAAGTTGTGTTGATATCCAAAAATAAATTCTATATTAAATATTTTTTTACAGTTAGAATATTTTAATTTAAAAAATAATAACCATTTTAAATATAATTGATTTATATAATTCAATAAGATTTATTTTCAAGAAAATATATTATTTTAAAAAAAATATATTATAGATTATATACTAACTTGTATGATAATTTTAAATATGTATACTTCTACGGCCGTACTATCAGTTTATTCAAAATTCTAATGACAAGATACAACTACTGCAACATCATACTGCTTCTATAAGATAGTGCTACTACTTAAGTCTTAGCATTTTTAGGAAGACATTAAATTATTACAAATTTGGTCAACAAGGTTACAACTTACATAGATGACCCTTAAATAAATAGAGCTCGTGAAGCACATACCAATTTTATTAGTAAAGTTGACCAATTAGGATATGTTTCGGTATTTTCCTCTTCAAATTAACATATGAAAACACGAGGCTAAAGTTTTCTTGTAAATACTATAAGCATATATATGCTTGGTATCTTTCCTCTTTAAATTAACATTTGTTGGATGCCAAAAATAAAATAAAAAATTAACAATTGTTGTTGTTATCCATATCTTCTAGACTTGCGCAGAGTAGTTGCACTTCGAGCTGGGCAATCGGATCCTAATCAGGTTTCGATTTGGTTCATTTTAGTTTTGAGTTTTTTGGTTCATGTATTTTAGTTCCATTTGGATATTATAAAAATTCGGATTGGATTCGGTTTGGGTTATCTTGGTTCGGTTCGGGTTTAGTAACACATCCAAGATCCAACTGAATCCGAAATAGTTTCGGATACTAATCGGGTTATCGGTTCAAAAAATACTAATTTATATTTGATTAAACTCAATATATTTTCAGTCATTCTCTTAAATTTGTTTATTTAATTTCTTCAAACTATATTGTCGCCCTTCAAAATAATATTATGAAACTTGACTATCAATCATATAAGATTTATCTTTGAACTATGTGTGACAACACTAAATATATCACGATTATTGATAAACCAAAGTTTTGTATGAACAAAAACCCTACATAATTAAATATTAAAAAATTAAAACTAACAACTAACAACTAACAATTCATAAACTTAAGAAATACTATTTATACTTAAAAAAATGACAACATTATTTACACTTCAAAAAAATATTTATTCGTAACTAAACTTCAAATGTAATGTAAAACATAAATATTAATATTAACCAAATAAAACTATGTATTTGAGTTAATTATTCACGTAATAACTAATTATTGTAGGTATTTAATATTTTAATGTGTTTGGGAAACATATTAGAAATCAAAATTGGATAAGGTACAAGTTTTTTTGAAATTTTAAAAGTTCAGGGTCTTTCGAATAAAACCCATAACCCAAAATACCGTAAAACAAGAGCCATTCAGTACTTATGTCAAGTTCAAATCGGTTATCGGTTCAGATTTTTATTTATCGGGCTGATTCGGTTTGAATATTTGAATTTTTTTTTTTTACCAGCCCTAGTTGCGCTCATATCACACGAATCGAAAACATGTGTGGAAACTGATTCGGTTTGAATTTTTGAATTGTTTTTTTTTTACCGGCCCTAGTTGCGCTCATATCACACGAATCGAAAACATGTGTGGAAACTATTGACGGTTAACCAAACTTGTGACCAATGTCCTCAATATAGATTCAAACCAGATTGAACCGAGAAAATTAACAGAAGTTAAAGAACTATTAGGTGAGCTTTTAGTATTTTTTTGTTCTTTCATAAGGTTTAAATAAAAAACCTTATAAAACCAGAGATATAGTGAATTACTTTATCTTATTCGTTAACCAACGGTCCAAGACCAGTCTAAAACTCTATCTCTCCATACGAAACAAATAAACAAAACAAATAAAAGAAGCGCCGTAGCACAAGAAAAAATAAAATAAGGAACTGTGGAAGAAATGTGGAGCAAAATAATATTGGTATCTTTTCAAATCTCAACGTACTTGCTTAATTTTAAAGTTATAATATTCAAAACTAACATATACAAAGTTCTATCTGCATGTATACACATCCCGTGTATAAATACGGAGCACATGAAGTTACATTTTCTTCATCCACTGACATTCAAATATATTAAACTACATAAAGCTCAGAAAATGATGAATCCTATGTTTTGCTTCCTTCTTACTTTAACCGCCGTTTTAGCCATGACCGAAGGCAGGGGCAGCACACCAGTTCTCGACTCTGATTCTAAAAATGTCCTCTCCAACGAAAGTTACTCCATTATTCCCCTCAAATCCAACGGCGTCTCCTATGATAGTGGCGGCCTAACTGTCTTCAACCGTGGTGGTACGTGTCCCATCTATATTGGAGTGAAAGCTTCAGAATTCAACTTGGGCGTTACCGTCAGATTCTCGGACTGGAACTCTACCGATAAGTACGTTCCACAATTACTGAATCTCAACATCAAGATGAACATCACTACTCCCATCAAATGCCTTCGCCCAAAATATTGGGCTGCAGGTGCGCGCGAGGAGGCGTGGTTCCTAAGAGCTGGTATCAAACCGTTGAAGCCTAAGTTCCAGATCAAGAAAAGTGATGTTTATATGGGTGGTTACTACATTTCCTATTGTCCTGCCGGTTTCAATTGCACCCGTGTCGGGACATTTGTGAACGAAGATGGCGTTCGGCATTTGGCTTTAAATGCTACGCCAGCCCATTTTGCGTTCGTGAGAGGTGTGATAAAGACTTCGTCCAAGACGACTATGTCTATTGGCTGAAAGAAATCAAAGACTACAAAATAATAAGATATGAGTTATAACCTTTACTACTAATAATAAAACTCTGTCTATGTAATATCCCTGTTTTCTTTGTTCATGGAATAAAACAACGTTTCCTTTGTTTCTCTTTAATATTCAACTCTCTCTAGGTTCACATTCACATAACTTGGAAACTAAACAGAAACATAATTTGTCTTTTAGAATGACCACATACATGATCATGGTCCCCATGTTATCTAGCGGTTTACTTGGATGTTGACATCTATGCAAGTCTTACCCTAGAATATCCTTCAGACAGTGCGACTAACCCAAATTGTCAGTTTGGTTGTATCGACCGTGTGTTTGTGTACTTGATGACGTCGTCAACTAGATGTATTTTGGCTCGTGTTAAAATGCCATGAACTTTTTACGTTCAACATTCTTCTTTTTTTTTCACACAACCTTAAAATTTCTACATATAGCGTTAAACCTAGCCATGATCAAGATGAATCGTAGCCATATCAAATCAATTAGGAACCACTCATTTATCTACCAGATCAAGCAATGTAATAACAATTTCGAGTGCTAGGAATCAGATCGAGCTTAGATTACATGAAGAAGAACGCGGTGATGACGAGGCCAATCGCTAGAGTTACACATCGACAAAGTCGGGTACATAGCCACCGAATCGGACTCGCAATCCGTCTTCTCACCAGAAACAACAGGAAAAGAGAAACTGTAAGAAAAAATAGCTTGTTTTGGTTAGTGATAGTGATTTGATTCCAGTAGAGCCCAGTATTACTTGAAAGGCCGTTGCGTAAAAAATTATTGTCCTCTTGGTTCATAAAAATGACTTTAATAGAAAATATTTTGACCAAAGACATTGTTTCGATACATGGCTACATCTATAATATATACTAAAAATCGATATGTTACAAGAAGATTTTGGAACCAAGGATGATCAAAGGATTGATCAAGCTGTTAGAGTGACGCTCAAAGAAAATTACATATGAAGAGATACTTCTTCTCTGCAAAATTGGTTTGAGTATAGATAATCACAAAGACTCTTCTCAACTCACGAGTCACACGTTTAATGCCAAAACTTTATCTGTAAACAAAATGCAGTTTCATGTTCTTTAAACGTTTTACATGAAGACAACAAGCGTTGATGGTACCATTGATAATATTTATGCATTTACACTTGAAACATTGAGAGCTCATAAAAGTAATTGTTACAGGGAAATTTCTTCGCAAGTCACCATATTGTTTTTCAAGTGGATAAATCTCCTTTAATCACTGCTGAAGGGACAAACTATCATGAATATTGATCTTGCGAGAGGATATGGAAAACCGCAAGAAAAGTAATGGTGAGAAAGATAACTTGTTACTGAGAGTCGATGATCATGATTCCTTCCGACTAGGTAATGTGAAGATTTTGAAAATTGCTTAAGAGTCATGTCAAATACAGTAAAATTGTTAGACGAGTAGCTTTTTTTTTTTTTTTTTTTTTTTAACACTAGTAGCTTATATATGGTTTATTAATAAAACAAACATGTTTTAAGATCTACTGCATTAAATTTGTAAGTTAATTTGGTCACCAGGTTACATAGCTAAACCCCCAAAAAAAAGGTTACATAGCTAAATGACTCTTAAAAAATAAAGCTTGTGAAGCACATACCCATTTTACTAGTAAAGTTGACTCATTATAGAAAATTAACAACTAGCAAATGGTGGTTGGAATAAGCTTAAATCTATATTATAATTGATTATCTTATTGACGTGTAGAATTGTTTAAATTTGGGTGAATAAACAACTGCAGATCTGCAGATAAATATTTTATTCTATCAAAGACCATTTTTAATAAATAAATAAATAAATATAATGGAACGAGAAAGATTTCATATTTCATTGTACTTGATTAGACTATCTCCAATGGAACACTATTTCTTTTCTATTATAGTGCAAAATATAAAAGAAGATGTTTTTTTTACTCCAAATATAGAATATATTTCACACTATAATAAAATAATCCTATTATAGAATAAAATATCACAGCAAATTCAACTCTATAATAAAATTATTCTATAGTAAATTCAACTCTATAATATAATTATTCTATTTTTGTGTAAAATATAAAGGGAAAACACTCTTAATTGTAAAGAATGATTTAAAACCTAAACTTAGCGTATACAAAGCTGTATGTGTATGTAAACACATCCGTGTATGGAAAAACGAATTACTTGAACTCACTTTTTTTTCATCCAGTAACAAAAAAAAAAAAACAAAAAATTAACTAAAGAAGCGTGGAAGGAAGGTGGAATATAAAAAGATAGGCATCTTCTCAGAGCTCAATGCACCTGCTTAATTTTAAAGTTAATAATATAAAACTTAAGCGTAGTGTTACAAAAAAAAAAAGCGTAGCGTATGCAAAGCTTATAAATAAAAAAGTATGCAAAGCTGTATGTGCATGTATAAATACCAATCAATTAACTCACATTTTCTTCATCCAGTAACATTGAAATCTAATCAACTACATAAACTCAAAAAAGCATGAATCCTATGTTTTACTTCCTTCTTGCCTTAGCCGCTGTTTTGGCCGCAACGGCAAACGCCGGCAAACCAATTCTCGATTCTAATGGTTATCGTGTCGTAGCCAACGCCAGTTACTACGCTAGGCCCCTTGTTAGCTACTTCGAATTGGACGGTGGCGGCCTAACTCTCAACACCTTTGGTGTCAACATTTGCCCCTTCTATGTTGGAAAGGAGAAAGGAGTGTTCGAAGATGGCATTCCCGTCAAATTCTCAGACTGGAAGTCTGGCGATGGGTTCGTTCCCGAATCAGAGAACCTCAACATTGAGATGGACGTCAAAGACACGCTCTGCTTTGAGCCAACCTATTGGCGTATCTCTACGGCCCCTGTGGTCCCTGTGAGGTTGCTCATAAAGACTGGTCCTAAGCCGTCTAGTGGTTTGTTCCAGATCAGGAAAAGTGAATATATACCTGCCCGTTATCAATTTTTCTTTTGTCCTGACGGTTACGACTGCACCAAAGTGGGATTATTTGTGGACAACCAGGGCCTTTGGCGTTTGGCTTTAAACGCTACGACTATATTTGAGGTTGGGTTCAAGAGAGTTCGTAAGACATAGACTTCCTCCAATACTATGACAGTTATCTGAGAGAAATTAAAGACAAACACAAATTAAGAAGATAAGAGTTAAACGTACGACTAACAATAAAACTCTATCTGTGTTCCCTGTTATCTTTGTTCACCAATCATTATATATGGAATAAAACATACTATTTCCTGTGTTTCTTTTTTATTCTCTCTCTCTAGTTTAAGTTTCACATAACTTGGAAATATAAATAGGAAAATAATTTCTCTTTTAGAATGACCACATATAAAAAAGGTCACTTGTTTTTTTTTTTGTAACACAAAAAGGTCACTTGATTATCTAAACTTGTGTTGTTCAAAAAAGTTCTAAAGTAAGGACTTTAAGAACCGGTTCTTAGCGTTTTTAATTAAAAGTTAAGAAACAGTTTCTTAGTTTCCGCTAAGACCATGTACATCGGCGTACATTCGCCTCGTCCCTCCATTTTTTTTTCGAATTTTAAATGAAAAAGAAAATAAAATGAAGTCCATGTTCCTTAAACGGGACGAATTTGTGTCGTCCACTTTGCCACGCGTCGGATTGTGAGTGGGAGAGCTCGTGGAGTTGAACGCAGCCGTTTTTATTTTCGCGAAAATAGGTTATCTTTTTCTCTCTTCTCTCTCGACGGCGACTCTGAGGGCGACCGTGTCTTCTCCGTAGAAACCAGTTGATTAGCCGGCAATTTGCCTCCTCTGGTCGATATCGTCAGTCGTTCTCTTCATTTGGAGCATCTGGTGTCGTTCCGACCGTTCCAATCGCGCGAAGAAGGTATGTGTCCTCCCATCTGTTTTGCGATTTTAGGGTTTCATTGTGATTTAGCTATTAATGATGTTCGAGACAAGGTATATGTGGGATTTGATTGTTTTCGTTGTCTTAGGGTTGGCGAATCAAAATTAGTTAGGGTTTACGCGAATGAAAAGTAATTAGGGTTGGTGAATCAAATTAATAATTAGGTATTTCTGGGTTTGTTGTGTTCTAAACTTTGAAAATAATAATATTTTAATCGGGGGACCAAACACTTAAAGAAACACAAATGTTCATACACAATATAAGAAATTTTCAAAAAATTAATAAAATATTTGGGGGACCAAATTTTGAGGGATACCATTACCCATGCTCTAAGAACCCGGGGTTAATCATGGTCACCATCGTTTCTTAACACAAAATTTCATTATTGGCCGTTTATATGGAACAAACGGTCATTCAGTACTTCTTTTTCAGAACATCATTCAGTACTTCTTTCATGGTGTGATTGCTTTGATAGTTGATAAGTCTGCTTGAATTACTGCTAAAGGAAAAAACTATCATGAATATGGATCCTGGGGGACGATAGGTAAACCCGCAAGAAAACTGATGGAGAGGAAGATGGCTTGTATTTTAGAGTCGCGATGATTCTGTTTTTTCTTGTGAGTAAAGAACAGAGAAGAAGAGTACAAAACATAAACTTTTTTATTTATTCGGCTGCCTTACAAAGTTCCCGTAAGATCGGTTTATATACAAGACATTTAACCTAGGAACCACTGACGTCAGCAAGTGACAGCGCACAACATAAGAGGAGCAAATCGGTTGGTCGTCACTGCAGTGTGAGCTGTGTGATCCGACTGAGAACACACTTTCTTGATGTTTTTGTCGTTTCTGCAACACTTCTCTTGACCGTTACAGAGGGAGACATTATAGGCTTTGTTTCTGTTGATTTGGTTTGGGCCTTCTCAACACACTTTGAGCCCATACTGTCATTAGTGAGGAGGTACAATAATATCCTCATGAAGATCTCAAAAAATTCAAGTCATGTCGAATACAGTACTAATGCTTGACGGGTAGCTTAATTTATGGTTTATAAAAATCAGTATTGTCATGAATGATGGGAAACAAAATTATCAGAAGTATATATTAGCAATTTCATACTTATATTATTGCAGTTTTTTTATACAATTTTTTTTCTTAAAATTTGTTATATGACACAATAACAAGGGAATTATTTTTAAATATAGGGTTGATTGGTAGAGCATTAGTATAAGCATTATGCTCTCTATTATCCAATCAACATTTGGTAAAGAAGCATTTAGAAAAGCATTTACCATATGCAAATGCTCTCCAAATGCTCTTTGCTCAATGCTCTCATATATAGCTTTTGGGAGAGCATTTGCATATAGAAAATATTAAACTTAACAATATTTATATATAATTTATTTATTTTTGTTTAAAAATATAAACATATTTTTTAATTAAATATAAATTTATATTTTAAAAAATAAAAATTATAATTTTTTAAATAACAATATTTCACATTTAAAATATAATATAATTTATATAATTACATATATCATTCATTATTTTTAACAACAAACATAACATAATATAAATTATATATTATCGATATAAACATATTATTTAGACACTAATAAATAAATTATATATTAACTTTTATGATAATTTTATATATGAGTAATTTAGTGCTCTACCAATAAATAAATTATAATTAATTTATATATAAATTATAGTTAATTTATATATAAAATATAATTAATTAATTTATTTATTTAATAATAATTATAATTTAATAATAATTAATTAAATTATAACTATAATTTTATATATGCGTAATATGTTATATCCAAAAATAATTTAATATTTTTTAAAAAACTTTAAATTTTTAACTATAATTATATAATGAAATTCATTATTTTTATTAAAATTATATATTATTAATTTAATATATATATATATATATATTATTTTAAAAGTAATATATTATTTTACTAACTATTATGATAATTTTAAAATCGTATACTGCTAATGCTCTGCCAATCACTTTATTAAAAACTTTAATGAAAGTATATAGCTTCTGTAGCATAATGCTTCTACGGCATACTGCTACTGCTTTATCATCTACTGTACCAATCGAGGCCTTAACTGCAGAAATAACAGACAGCGAGACAGCTGAATTTGTCAATGATTTTATTTTTTTATAAGGTACTTTTTGAAGTCTTTTTGATATGTGTTTTTTATAAAATGGTTGAAAAATCTGAAATAAGGAAAAACGTTTTCTTTCTTTTTTGTTACAAATTATGTGTATTGCGTATAACTACCCCTCTGTATTATATTTGTAATAAAAAATATTCGTATGAAATAAAAAATATTTCCATGCAAAGCATGGGATCAATACTAGTACAGTAATAATGCTAGACGGGTAGCTTTATGGTTTATAAAAATAAAATGGTCTAAAAACCTACTACTTTCTTAACATTTTAAGAAGGCACTGAATTTGTAATTTAATTTGGTCAACAAGGTTACATGGATGACCCTTAAATAAATAGTGCTCGTGAAGCACATGCCCATTTTATTAGCAAAGTTTTTTTTTTAGTTTTTTTATTAGTAAAGTTGACCCATAATAGAAAAAGACAAACAAACAGTTAGCAAATTATGGCTGGAAACTGAAATCTATACTATAATTGATCATCTCCTTGACGCGTACAATTGTTTAAGTTTGGGTGAAAGAAACAAAAGTGGATATTTTTGTAAGGAAATTATCGTTCAAAACTTTTAAAGTATTGACATTTTACACTAAACATTGTCTTTATAAACATTTACTTTTAGTGGCTTTCAAGAGTTCAGAGCAGAGACGTCTGGCCTTGAGGTTCCCAAGAAAATATAGGTTTCCAGCCTTTGTTGTTTTTTTTTTTTTTTTTAGTAATTTATGTAATGGATTCGATGTATGTAATTAAAGTCAACGTAAAGATGTATGTAATGGATTCGATTTTCTATCATAGCAATACTTTTTTTATTAAATTGCTTCTAGCCTGAAAATATTCAGGACTAACACTGGTTCAGAACTATTGATCTTTGTAGATTACCCTCTTTTTGGAATTTATTTGAATCCTTCCGATTAATTGTACCAATTTTGGTTAAAGTCGTGGCGGGTGAACCTCCGTTGCACGCCTAGAGGGGCACTTAGTCAGTTAGGCGCTTAGTCGGCTACCCACTCGCGTTTTAGAATACAAGTAGACAGGTTCTAATGCACATTATTTTGGTGCAAAAATGTGTTTCCAAAATATTCTTTTTTTGGACAAACCAAAATATTCTTAATGATTGTTAAAAGAAGAAATAAAAAAATACAGTGGTATTCTCGAGTAAAATTAAAGTAAAGAAGCGTGGAAGAATTGTGGAGTATAATAATGTAGGCGTCTTCGCAGATCTCAATGTACGTACTTGCTTAATTTTGAAGTCAATAATTTTAAGCTTAAGCTTATCATATACAACGCTAAAGCTGTATGTGGATGTATACACATCTGTGTATAAATATGGATACATGAACTCACATTTTCTTCATCCAGTAAAATTCAGAATCTAATCAACAATATAAACTCAAAAAGGATAACTCCTATGGTTTACTTCCTTCTTGCCTTAACAGCTGTTTTAGCCGCGTCCGCAAACGCTGGCAAACCAATTCTCGATTCTAAAGGTCGTATCATAACCGACGGCAGATACTACGTTAAGGCCCCCCTTTCCGACTTCGAGGTTGTAGGTGGCGGCCTAACTCTCGCCCACCGTCCTGGTGGCAACCAGTTGTTGAGACAGCAACGGAGGATGAAGAGAAGAACGAAGAAGCCATCAGTTTGCTATTCCAAGGAATACCTGAAAGTCTAGTGTTACAAGTCGGGGAGTTGCAGACCGCAAAGAAGGTGTGGGACGCAATCCAAGCAAGGCATGTGGGTGCAGAACGTGTCATGGAGGCCAGATTACAAACATTAATGGCTGAGTTTGACAAGTTGGCGATGAAGGAAGCTGATAAGATAGATGACTTTGCTGGCAAGTTATCTGAGATATCTTCAAAGAGTGCTGCCCTAGGAGAAGAAATCAAAGAATCAAAGCTGGTCAAGAAATTTCTGAAGAGTCTTCCTCGAAAGAAATACATACAAATAGTGGCGACACTGGAACAAGTATTGGATCTCAAAACAACTAGCTTTGAGGACATAGTTGGTCGCCTGAAAGCTTATGAAGATAGGGTAACCGAAGAAGAAGAGACCAGTGAGGACCAGGGGAAGTTGATGTATAGTAGCGCGGACTCTAACTACACGCGTGAGAACTATGATGAAAACAGAGGAAGTAGAGGACGAGGTGGACGATTCAGCAGGGGAAGAGGCAGAGGACGCCAGTCTGGAGGCAGAGACACATCAAGAATCATCTGCTTCAGGTGTGACAAGATGGGGCATTATGCCTCTACATGTCCAGATCGTTTACTCAAACTACAAGCGGCTCAGGAGCAAGAGAGGGATAATACACAGAATGCAGACGAACTTATGCTACATGAAATAGTGTACCTAAACGAAGACAAGGTGGTTCCTAGTAGGTTTGAGACCAACGACGATCAATCAGACATGTGGTACTTGGACAACGGAGCCAGTAACCACATGACTGGAGAAAGACGCTACTTCACAAGCTTAAACGAGTCAATCACTGGAAAAGTTAAATTTGGAGATGATTCAAGGATTGACATTAAAGGAAAGGGCTCCATTGAGTTCATTGATAGGAACGGAGAAGCAAGAACCATGAGAGACGTTTACTATATTCCAGACCTCAAAAGTAGTATCATCAGCCTCGGCCAAGCAACTGAGGCTGGATGTGATGTACACCTCAAAGGAGAGACCTTAACTATGCGTGATCAACATGGAAAACTCCTAGTAAAGACCATAAGATCACAGAACCAACTCTACAAAGTGAAGATGGGGATAAGAGATAACGTGTGTTTGCTAACAACAGAGACCAGCAACTTAATAAGGTGGCATGCGAGATTGGGGCACATAAACTTCGAGACAATGAAGTCTATGGTACAAAAGGAACTCGTGGTTGGAATTCCACAGATCAATGGAGAGAAGAGAGTATGTGGATCATGCCTATTGGGAAAACAAACACGCCACGTCTTTCCACAAGCAACATCATACCGGGCACAGGAAGTACTAGAACTAGTTCATGGAGACTTATGCGGCCCTATAACTCCGAGTACACCATCTCAAAACAAGTACATATTTGTACTTGTAGATGACCATTCCCGATACATGTGGACGATACTACTAAAGGAGAAAAGTGAAGCTTTCATCAAGTTCAAAAGGTTCAAGGAGATGGTTGAGCAAGAGTCAAAGAAGAGAATGCAAATGTTCAGAACGGACAGAGGAGGTGAGTTTGTCTCACAGGAGTTCGACGAGTTTTGTGGAAAATCAGGAATAAAACGACACTTGACGGCCCCATACTCGCCTCAACAAAATGGAGTTGTTGAGAGACGAAACAGAACCATGATGGAGATGACTCGCAGTCTGCTAAAACATCTCAAATTGCCCAACTACTTATGGGGAGAAGCAGTGAGACACTCAACTTATCTCCTAAATCGTGTGGCTACTAGGTCCCTCAAGGATATAACACCATATGAAGCTTACCGAGGCAACAAACCCAACATGAGCCACATACGTATTTTTGGATGTCTTGGTTATGCAAATATTGTAAAACCTCATCTAAAGAAACTTGAAGACAGATCGCGAGTGCTTGTACATTTGGGAACTGAACCGGGGTCGAAAGCCTATAGAATGTATGATCCTCAGACACAAAGAATTGTGGTAAGCAGGGATGTTGTTTTTGATGAAAGTAAAGGTTGGAATTGGAACCATGAGAACTCGGAACAGAGCAGTGAGGGTTGTGNATTGTAAAACCTCATCTAAAGAAACTTGAAGACAGATCGCGAGTGCTTGTACATTTGGGAACTGAACCGGGGTCGAAAGCCTATAGAATGTATGATCCTCAGACACAAAGAATTGTGGTAAGCAGGGATGTTGTTTTTGATGAAAGTAAAGGTTGGAATTGGAACCATGAGAACTCGGAACAGAGCAGTGAGGGTTGTGACAGTTTCAAAGTTTACTCAGAAACTTCAGATAACCATGATATACATGAAGGTACAACAGATGATTCGAGCAATGAATTATCTCAGCAGCCAAAGAAGATTGAGGAAAAGATTGAGATAGTGTCATCGGACGAGGAAGAAGATGATGAGGAAACAGAAACAGACCCTGCAGTAAGAAGATCACAGAGACAAAGGTTTACACCAAAACACCTGGATGACTACGTTTTGTATCTCACTGCAGCAGAAGAAGAGGGAGAGTACTTGCTCATGTGTCTTAATAATGAGCCAAGAAACTTTGAGGAAGCAAAGAACTCAACAGAGTGGAGGATTGCGTGTGAAGATGAGCTAAGGTCTATAGAGAAAAACAGAACATGGACGCTAGAAGAACTTCCTATAGGGGCAAAGGCAATTGGGCTTAAATGGATATTCAAGATTAAGAGGAACTCAGATGGAAGTATCAATAAATACAAGGCAAGATTAGTGGCGAAGGGGTATGTACAGAAGCAAGGAGTAGATTTCGAAGAAGCTTTTGCACCTGTGGCAAGGATAGAGACGATCAGACTACTTGTGAATCTTGCAGCTGCAAATAACTGGGAGATTCATCATCTGGATGTCAAGACAGCGTTCTTACACGGTGACCTAAAAGAAACCGTGTTTGTCACTCAACCGGAGGGATTCGAAGTGATTGGGTCTGAGAGAAAAGTGTACAAGTTGAGCAAAGCATTGTATGGACTACGACAAGCACCTAGAGCATGGAATCACAAACTTAATGCTATTCTCACAGAGCTTAAGTTCACCAAGTGCTCAAAAGAACCATCAGTTTATCGAAGACAAGTACAAGGTGATCTTCTCATAGTAGCAGTTTATGTTGATGATTTGTTCATTACCGGAGCAAACATACAACATATAAGAGAGTTTAAGAAAGAGATGTCGGCAGAGTTTGAGATGAGTGACCTTGGGAGGTTAACCTATTACCTTGGAATTGAAGTAAATCAGCATCAAGGAGGAATCACGTTGAGTCAAAGGGGGTATGCTCTGAAAATCTTGGAGGAAGCAGGAATGAAGAACTGTAATCCTACGCAAGTTCCTATGGATACAGGCGTGAAACTATCAAAGTCACAAGAAGAAAGGTCCATTGATGCAACGAGTTATCGAAGGAACATTGGTTGCCTAAGGTACTTATTGCACACACGTCCGGACTTAGCTTATTGTGTTGGAGTACTCAGTAGATACATGCAAGATCCAAAGGAATCACACGGAGCTGCAATGAAGCATTGTCTGAGATATCTACAGGGGACAACAAGTTATGGCTTATCATTCGAGCGCTCTGCTTCAAGAACAACACAACTTACAGGCTACAGTGACTCAAGTCACAACGTAGATCAAGATGATGGGAGGAGTACAACTGGTCATGTGTTTTACTTCGGTGGAGGGCCAATAACTTGGTGCTCACAAAAGCAAGATACAGTTGCTCTCTCGTCATGTGAGGCGGAGTTTATGGCTGGGACAGAAGCTGCTCGTCAAGCCATTTGGTTGCAGGATTTGATTGGCGAGATTGGTGAGACGTTATGTAAGAAGACTGTTATACGGATAGATAACCAGTCTGCCATAGCACTCACGAGGAATCCAGTGTTTCATGGACGATCAAAGCACATTCACACTCGATATCATTTTATCCGTGAATGCGTTGAGAGAGGTTTGGTGGAGATCGAACATGTTCCTGGAACGCAGCAAAGGGCAGACATTTTGACTAAGGCGCTTGGACGGATCAAGTTTGGTGAAATGAGAGATCTCATTGGAGTTAAAGATTTGTCAAGCATGGAGTTCAAGCTTAAGGGGGAGACTGTTGAGATAAGCTTGAAGGATAAAGCTTGAAGAGAAAGTTAAGGAAACCTAATCCTACCGAGATATGGAAACATGATAAACATCAAAGTTAGGAGTTATCTACTTGTATTGTTTATTATGATTAGGATTAGCAAACTCTATATAAGGATGTCGAGTTATGACATTAAAGGTGTGAGAGTTTTGTTTTGAAGAACTTNGAAACATGATAAACATCAAAGTTAGGAGTTATCTACTTGTATTGTTTATTATGATTAGGATTAGCAAACTCTATATAAGGATGTCGAGTTATGACATTAAAGGTGTGAGAGTTTTGTTTTGAAGAACTTGAGTTTTGAGCTAAGTTTCTCAGGTTAATAATAAGAGAGATATTCTTATTTGTGTCTTTCAAGTTCTATACCAGTGTCCCCTATATGTTGGACAGGAACATTTACATTTCAAAATGGGCATTCCCGTCAAATTCTCAGACTGGAAGTCTAGTGATGAGTTCGTTCCCGAATCAGAGAACCTCAACATCGAGATGGACACCAATGTCACAATCTGCTCTCAGTCAAACTATTGGGGTATTGCTCCGGCCGACGTGGTCCCTGCGAGGTTGTTTATAAAGGCTGGCCCTAAGCCGTCGAATGGTTTGTTCCAGATCAAGAAAGGTGATCGGCATAAGAATCGTTACCAAATTTTCTTTTGTCCTGACGGTTACGACTGCACGAGAGTCGGAATTACTTATGGCCGAGATGACCGGCCTTTGGCTTTAAACGCTACGTCATATGAGGTTGTGTTCGTGAAAGCTACTGAGCCAGAGACTTCGTCCAGGACTATGCCTATTATCTGAGAGAAAGTAATAAGAGTTATTACTTAGGACTAATAATAAAACTTTTATGTGTTCCATGTTTTCTTTGGTCACCAATCATCATATATGGAATAAAACATATGATTTCCTTTGTTTCTTTTTATTCTCTCTCTAGAAATTATTCTCATAGTTGGAAATTAAACAGAAACATAATTTCTCTTATTTCTCTTTTAGAATGATCACATATAATAGGGTCACTTGATATCTAACATTGTTGGCTGAGTTAATTTGCAGATCTATAGCTTTTTTAAAATGTGTTTCCAAAACTTTTCGTATATATAGAGCATCTCTAATGGCTATAATCCATTGGAATTCTTAGAAAAAGTATTTTTTTAATTTTTTAATTATTATTTATTTTCAAATAAAAAAAAAATAACAAATCCCACGTATCGTGAAGGCCTGCAAATAGTGCAAAAATTCACTAAGAAAGAATCCTTATTTAACTTCATCGGATTTTCAGATAAACACATGAGTCATATATAACTCATAATCTAGCGAACATGTTTGATGAAATCTGATTGCTTCTGTAGTGCACAAATCTAATCACTGCTGAAAGGAACACACTATCATAAATGTTGATATTCGGAGAGGAAGATAACTTGTATTTGAGAGTCTATGATTCTGAAATTTCTTCTGAAGAGGTAAAATATTATACTTGTGAATATTTGGAAAATTTACTTAGCATGTCAAATACAGTAATATTGTTAGACGATTAGTCTTGTCATTTATAAAGACTGATTTTAAAACTTACTTTCTTAACATTATAAGAAGGCATTAAATTTTTAAATTAATATGGTCAACAGGGTTACATAGCTAAATGACCATTAAATAAATAGAGCTCGTGAAGCACATACCCATTTTATTATTAAAGTTGTTAGATCCATTTTAGAAAAAGACAAAAAAACAATTAGCGTTTAACTGTTGTTGGTAAGAAGTTGACGCTTAAAAAACTTCCCACTAGAACAGTGACCTCAAAAAGTGAATCACAGGAGGATAATTATGAAAACGCGAGGCAAAATTAACATTTGTCGTTATCACAAGAATCAAAATTAACACGAGGATACTGCTTGAACTGTGACCCGCAAGTCAAGCATATTGCTATCTCTTTTTTTTTTCTGGCTGAGAGTGGGGAGTATTGATATCCGTTGATAAATCCATGAAAGGCAATGTGATTAAACTCTATTGTGGGAAAATTATCAGATGCCATTTCGACTTAGGCCTTCAAATTTATTGACAATGTAACTTGTGTGAAAAGATTCAGTTCTAATCAATATCGGTCTCTCTGTTTGGATAGGCACTAACGTATCATGTTGCGGACCTTGAGGAATGATTGAGCTGTTGAAGATACAGGAGTCTCAAGACAGGTTTGATGAAATCTTGATTGCTTTTGCAATGGTTAAATTCACTTTAATCACTGCTGAAGGAACAAACTATCATGATAACTGATCAAGGGAGAAAATACGAAGACGTACAAAAATATTGATGGAGAGGAACATATCTTATATTCGAGGGTGGATGAATCTGATTGTTCTTCTGACCAGGTAATATCTTATAAGCAGTGACATAGAAAATTCATTTATGGAACTAATCACTCTGACTTGCTTGAACTTGAGCATTCCATGCTCTGGCATTGCCGTGACCACTTCCATTGATGGATCCAGCTTCAGAAATCACAAAAATCATGATCCCATGTTACCCTAGAATCCTTTAGGCAATGCGACTAACCGAAATTGTCAGTTTGGTGGTATCGATTTGTGTACTTGTTGAGGTTGAGGTTATAGACATCAGTTGGATCTGCTTTTGCTGTCGTTAAGATTGTCATGAAATCTTTTACTACGTTTCAACAACATTTTTTTTTTTATCACAACATTGATGATTAAACTTAATTATGAAGTTTAAAAGTACAAACCATCGAAGAAAACATTTGCGACTTGCACATTATTGTTCACGCAGTTACTACGTGCAAATCACATATTCACTCATTATTCATTACATGCATAAAGAAAAGAAGACGCATATATGTGAATGCATTCACATATAAGTAAGCCTCCTCCCCAATGACAAAGTTTGTCATATATCTTTAGCCATCTCTTTCTTCAAATTAACCATTGCATCTCTTGGCAATGTCATGACAACTTTAACCCCACCTTCCATTGATGGATCCAGCTTCGAAGGTCTCATGATAATCCCAAGGTTACGTTCATTCTCCTGAGGCGTCAACGGCCATATATTCACAGGCTTGTTCCAACCAAAGTCCATGGACTCGAACAATCCGGTGTTTCTCAAGTCTGTCAATAGGAATACACCATCAGCTACTCCTTCGAATTTGGCATATTCTTTCATCAACCTCTCTGAGTTCTTTAGCTCCTCCACGATATGCGTCTTGTCAAGAGATGATTTTTTTGCTCTCTTCACGAGCTTTGCAATGTCAGAGATCGATGATTCCTCTAGCTCTCTTGCAGTTATCTGAACGTAAACGTCTATGTAGGCGTTACCATAGTATCCCTCGGGGAGTGGTGGATCTAGAACATGTCGGATTCCGACAGTTATGATAAGGACAGTGATGCCGTCTAAGTTTAGCTTCAAAGCTCGAGATGTTGATTTCCATATGTAAGCACAAAGAAGTTCGAAAGTAGTGAAACGCTCCTCAAGTACCACAGTGTCTTTAAGCCTACTCATATTTTCAGCCATAATGTTTACTGTCTCTGTAACCTGGGGATCATATATAGAATATAAAACCAAGTATTCTCTTGAATTACACAAAGTTAAAGTTTTTATCGAACGTGTCACTTTTTCATGCGTAATTAACATTTAGTATCTTACAAAACGTGGTTAATTATTTAATACAATTATTTTTCATTTATAAACATGGAGATCATAATAAATATGAATGTAACCTAAAACGTCCAAAGTCTTGAGTAATTTTCATGGTTCCAACAACAATATAATATGTAAGAAAATATTAATTCTATATAAAATAAAATAAAAACTTAATGTGTAAATTAAAGAATACTATTGATCACGACTCGCACAACCGTGCAGATATTTTAATACTAAAATATATAAATTATATAAGAAATTTTATCAATAAATAAACATAATTTGATGTTGTATACTATCTAATTTTATAATAATGTTTATGTGGCTTATATTATTATTAATATAAAATTTATCAATTTTTTTATTTTTGTAACAAATTTTTAAAAATACTATTATGTAACATTACTAATTTACATATTTTTTTTATTTCGGAATTTGAAGTATATGTAAAAAATAAATTAGGTTGGACCTACATAAGCAAATTTTTGGGATAGTATTAAAAGTATTTTACATAGTTTTTTGTTTATAAATCAAAAATGAATTAAAATTTTAATTATATTTTATGATAATTAAAATTTTAATCAAATAATTTTCAAAAATATATCTTGAAAAGATTCTATAAAAATTTAAAAATATTTTGTTAGAATTTTCTTAAAAATTATTTGTAATTCAAATAAAAATTAAAGATATGAAAATATATTATAATGATGTTATGTATTATAATTTTTTTAAAGATATTACAAACTAAAAAATCACACATGAATAAATCATGACTTTTGTTTTAATATAATAGATTTACACTTTAGATATTTTTAGTCAAAAGTCTATAGACATTGTAAAGATCGTAGTAGCTTGTGTGTGTAATCTACTTTATTTAATATTGGTAAGTAGTTCGGGCAAATAATATTATAAACAGAGACTTTCTAACGGCATAAGAAGCAAATACTTGCGTAAGGTTAAGCTAGTTTTCTCTGTATCATTCCAATTTATCGAATATCCAAAAGGGACAAGATGCAAATTCTAACAAACTAAGAAATAATGTTTATTAAGAAATAATGTGTAACAAACTAAGAAATAATTAAAAAAAAAAAATTATAATATATAGTAGATGATTTTGACAAAGAAGGGTGATGCGAAAAACATACCATGTCACCGCTTGGCATATACGGTGATTTAGCCAGAAGACCTTCGTTATCAGCCCAGGGCACTATAGCCGGCTTATCGTCTAATCTCTCGACCAGTCGCTCTCTTTGCCACACCGGCACTACCGACAGCTCGCTCTTTCCGCTGGCTAACTCGGTTAGAGCATTGAAGATCGTAGCCACACCATATCCATCACACAACACGTGTGTCACTGCTATGCCAATGGTGAATCCACCACAAGAAAATTTGGTCACCTTCAAAATCCAAAGGAAATATATTTCTTAATTAGATCTTACATTTTGAGAAACCTTTTTTGACTGGTTTACAAAGAAACTATTTTGGCCGGTTTACAAAGAAACTAATTTCTTTGGTCAAAAATGTGAATATTATAATAATATGAGAAGAACCTGCATGTAACACAAAAGCGATATATACAAGGGGAGAAAAAGATACCTAGTTTCAAAAAAAAAAGAAGAAGAAGATACCTGCAAAGAGAGAGGATGACAGCCATTGTCACTTTGAAAATTAACATCAAGCTCATGCACAAGTTGCATCGCAACTTCATCGGGAAAGTTTTCTACATAGTTTAGAGAGCAGAGATCGTGATCTGCTGTAGCAACCGCGAAAGGGACTCCTTCCCCAATACAAACCAGCTGAAACTTTCCATCAATTTTTCGTCTCATTAGCTTGCCTGAAATTGGATAATAATAGAGCAGAAGGTCGGACAAAGCCTTCCTAAGCAGAGAGACCGGATCTTTTTGGTTTTTTGCGTTTGCCTCATAAATGTAAATGTATGCATACATAGGTTCGTTGATAGGTTCATTGTCTAAAGTAGAAAGGGAAAGATTTCCACAAGGTGTGTGTTTTGAAGGTTTAACAAACTCAATTGGTTTCTTTTCGAGTAATAGAGGTCTCGGTTTGGCTTGATTTGCCATATTACCAAGTTTTGTATGTATAAATCTAAGATCCTCTCCCCTTCTTATATAGTAAAGTGTTAGGAAGTCAATTTTGAGACAATA